AGCACAGCCTGGGCACCAGACAGCCACTCACTGACCTTGCAGGCCTGTAACCCACAAAGCATACCAAGGCACAGCCTGGGCACCACACAGCCACTCACTGACCTTGCAGGCCTGTAACCCACAAAGCATACCAAGGCACAGCCTGGGCACCACACAGCCACTCACTGACCTTGGAGGCCCATATCCGCGGGGGGCCCGAGGGCCCGGGTGGGCTCTGTACTGCTCGTAGGGCAGGCCAGGTGGTGGGGGGTGAGTGTGCATGGGGGGGGGGCGGCCAGAGGGAACCCCAGTGGGGCCGGGCTGCAGGCGAGGCGGGAGGCCAGGCTGGGAGCGGCTGTAGGACACAGCCAGCAGCATCTCCTTCCCTTTGGGCTTCTTGAAGAAGCGGCGCTTCCCTCTCATATCTGAGTCTGGGGGGGGCGACAACAAGTTCAACTGCAGGACATGGACATCAAAGACCTCCAGTGGGTCTGCACACCGAATGAATGAGGTCCATAAGAACTCAGAACACTGACAGCGGCAGAGAACATTGCTGTGGTTTGCAGAATGTTTGGAGAACTACTAAACACCGACGGTAAGGTGAAATAATATAATAAACATTTGGACAGAGACTAGACACAAACTGTAGGGTACAAAAGTTGAATATACACCACAGCATGAAACACCAGTGCACACCACTGCAAAGTCATAAAACAGCAGTACCAAACTGTATGGACATATTCAGGAGGGCAGATGGGGAAATAAAACACAGGAAGGGCACTGCAGGAAAGCCCTAGAAAAACACTACTTAGAATCTACCTTCATTCCGTGGCAGATGAGCCGCTCTGCTAATATGCAAATGTTCTGCTCAGTGTATTCACAGTGCAAAATGAATATGTCTGCGCACAAATCCAAAGAGTTTCGTAGCTGTGGATGATACCAGCAGATACACACCAACAAAAAGGCACCAGTACACAGACTGGTGCTCTTCACTGACATCTCAGCTCATTTACTCTCATAACAAAAGCTGTTGTGAGCACAAACACGCTCCATTAAAACACTATTGCAAGATAAAGCAGTGTTGCACAGCCGAGAGATGAACCAAGCGGAGCTTTGGGGGCGGGGGGCATCGTACCGAGCTCCCCCGGGTACTGCTCGGACCTGGCGAAGGCCCCCTTGCGGCCGGCACACACGTTCCAGGCCGGGACGGGGTTCACGGGCTTCAGATTGGTCAGGGACACCAGGTGCCTGGAGGGAGGGAGAAGTGAAAGCCAGCAGCACACCAGCCCCCACATGCTCAGCTGGTAACCTAATCCCGGGCAGGGTTAGGGGGACAGGAGGCGGCGCCACTCACTTCTCCCCAAGCTCCTCGATGAAGACTGTGACGGCACTGGCATGTGTGCCCACCTCCTGGATGAAGGCGTTGTAATACTTCCCCTTGGGGTCCAAGCGCACCTGCAGAAGCCCAGGAACTTCAGGAGGACACGTTCTGACAGCCCAAAGCAGCCGCCACTCACCTATCAGGGGCTCACAGACATTTCACAGCTGCCTTATGCAAGTCCTCAGTAAATCCTCTCAGTTTGTGCAAACTAAAACGCATTAATGCATTTACATTTTTTGTGGAAGCACATCCCTTTGTTAACACTAATGACATTTCTAGCTAATTATTCAGGGTATTTATTCTGGCTTTATAGTCTACTCATGGCATAGACGGCACTGCATCTTATTTAAGCATCATTAACTAATGATTATGTGTTTAAAGCTGTAAGCACAGCGGCTTCAGTAGCTCCTACCATCTTAGCACCCAAGCAGCATCTAAAACACCAGTGTATTCATCATCAGCCCACTGCCGAACACTGTCTGACACCAGGCAAAATATCAAAGGCTCCAGGTTCGAACTGTACTGTAGCGCCCCCTGGCTGCAGCCAGGCAGACACTGCAGGGGACACCCGCTTACCTGGCACTTGTCGCCCAGGAAGTACTGTCTGCCCGCGAACACCATGTAGTCAGTCTTCTGCATTTCTGCCCGGCAGAGCCATGGAAGACAAAGAGACGCATGAAAGCTCGGCGATAAGCACCGTGGTCCTCAAGCAAACAAAGCGAAATGAAACAAGCAAGCAAGCAAAGCAGGGACAGACATCTGCAGACTTCTGAACCTTCATTTCTTATGCAAACCCATCTGATATCAGCACTGCCTTAGATCATTTTAGCCCCCACTAGGCCTGTACAATGGGCAATGTTAATATCGACAGCATAGGCTACGCACATCGCAATGGGCAATGTTAATATCGACAGCATAGGCTACGCACATCGCAATGGGCAATGTTAATATTAACATCATAGGCTACTTAAGACGCAAGTTTATGCTTTAAACTTAATAAATGTTACGTTGACTTCATAATCCAATCAATTATTAAGATCTCTAAAAAATGTATTCAAGATATTTTAAGGCATTAAAGGTCCAAAACTCAGATTATTTGATTTTAGACTTAAGGTTCCGCGGAAACACTGTACTACTCCACAGCCTAAGGACACTATTGTTTAGCTTATAAAGGAACAGAAACCGCAGCATTGGCTTCCCTGATTCACCCTGAAATCACAGATAGACATTACGGATGGTGGCAAAATAGTCACGGTTCAAATTTAGAAGGAAGTGCCAACCGTGGGCCACAATTAGCGATAAACACGATAAAACAAGACAGAGCTCTGGAAGACTGACACACAGCCCAATTAGTCAGTCAGTGACAATGCAGCCCCACACTTAGGCAAGGCTGTATTAAAATTAACACAAGTCAAAGGCAGCAATGACCGGCTGCAAGAGGCAGACAAAGCAGCAGTCAATTAATTGGATAGCCTGCTACTGGACAGCAGGCCAGCAGGGCGCGCCGTACCGGAAAACCAGCGAGGAGCGCGCGCCGTACCGGCAAACCAGCGAGGCCGGCGCGCCGTACCGGCAAACCAGCGAGGCCGGCGCGCCGTACCGGCAAACCAGCGAGGCCGGCGCGCCGTACCGGCAAACCAGCGAGGAGCACGCTATGTACCGGCAAACCAGCGAGGAGCACGCTATGTACCGGCAGGGCACTATGTACCTTTCCGACAGTCGTGCCAGACATCAAACTCCACGTTGCGGTACATCTCTGGGTCCAGCGCCTTGAGTGCTTTGTAAGGCAGAGAGAGCTTCACAGCGCCCTCTACAGCCTGGGGGAAAAAAGCCCGATTACCACAGTACAGCTGTCAATGGGAGATGATCTTTTGTTCAGGAGACTGACCTTTGACTCCTCAGCCGACAGTCTCACTTTGTCCTCTGAATGACAGAGACCATTCAGCTCCCAGTCCTCCCTGTCGAGGATTCAGAGCGACAGAATTACAGAAAAGCACGTTGTTTTGTGAGGATCAGAGACGTGTGTGACCAGATCAGCGTTTCTCAACCCGGTGCTTACGTTTTTGCTCTCTCAAAAGCACAGGTTGTCTGGGAATCCCTGAGAACCTCTTTGACAGACACTGTACAGACTTCTTGTTCAGTTCAGAAGTACCCGTTTGAAAGCAGCAGGAAGTGACCAGAAATGGGTTTTTGCTCCTTTACCTCCAAACTGAGACCTGCTACTCAAACGACATCGGTCTACTACTAACTTTCCTTTCACAAACAACACAAAAGTTTACAAGTGCATCTAAAATTTACATACTTCAGGAAGACTGCAGCGTTTTTTTAACACCAAAATGTCCAGTATGTCTCAGAGTTCACCTTTGCGTCAATGCAACCTTGCATCCCTGCAATTAGTTAACTGATTAACCAATTGCTTTATTAAAAGGATCAGCATGGGAGGTAATATCTTAAGGTGTCGAAGGTGTGACATTAAGCCAGGTCCCCATTTCACAAAACAGACCAGGGGCACTTTCAACCTGAAAACGCCGTGCAGAGTTTTGCTATGGTGTCCGAGCTGAATGACGACCCCCCAAAAACGGTGAGAAACATTGGGCAATAGATCGAGGTACATTTTCTTTCGATTGGTGTGTGTGTGTCATAGGTGTTACCCAATCAGCAGCGACACCGAATTTAAAAGGCAGTGCCCACAGTGGATCCCAGCCATAGTTGCAATGTTTGTGTAACAGGGTGTTCAACACACCACTGTTTCCATTTAAATAAACGTAGCCCAGGTGTGGTTACTTCCCATCTGATATTAATCAGCTGCGTAGCAGGAGCATAAACCCACCAGCCCAGTCACTCGTCCTTATAAAAGGCTGTAAGGTATTTAGAATGATCCTGCAAAAAGATGCGAGATGGGCACCTATGTCCATTAAGTGACATTCACATGGAAAGGCTTTTGGTTAAGGACGGAGTGTGTAATCACAGTAAACATGAAGCTGCATTCATCACGACTCTCCAAAGATGCAGGGATCAGTGTTTAACTGTACTACAGCTGTCATGATTACTCGATTAAACTCCATTACTGGATTTTTTTTTAAAAACCATCGATTAACATTTTCCTTGTCGATTACACACCAACATGGCGGAAGGAAGACAGAACCTGGCTGATGAGGGTCAATAAAGAGAATCGGCATGTTGGGTGGGAGCAGAACTTAAATATCAGCAGAGCCTGACTGGAGCTTAATGGAAGACATTTGGGTTTGACAGCCACAGCCAGTAAGGCGAGCATAGCCAAGACAACGCGCCAATTAGCCTCTCGGAATAGTATTTACCACTAACTCAAATTATTTTTCATTTTACATAATCTGGTACATAACCATATATTTCTCTTTTGTGTGACCATATTATTTTTTGAGTAGGGCTGAACGATCCTGGATCACAATGTGATATTTAAAGTCTGCAATATGGAAGTGTTGAAAAGTTCTGTTTGGCTACAGTTAATTATCTACCAGCAGCTTTCGTTGAATACACTGGAGGTGCTGCAAGCTAAACCTGCATTTCCATACGGCCGGAGTCTTTTGGTTATCGGTTCCTGTTCACTTTTCTCTCCTTCACTCATCCTTTCTCACAGCCCTGCCACACTGTCAATGAGTGAATCCAACAACATACCACATAATGTTGAAAAGGAACCATTATTAAAGATGGAAAACTTACTAAGTGCCTGAAGTACTCATTGATGGACTCAACCCAAGCTATCGCGGTAGTTGCCAAGTGACACCTGCATGTGCATAACATGTGATGTCACTTAACACTGCACATTGTGCAGTGAGAGCAGCACGGTTACGCAGTGATTAGCTTAGTGTGTCTGCATGTTCACTGCATGTGGGCGTGGCTTCCTCCCACTGCAACATGCAACTTAAAGTGAATTGGTTTGTCTCAACTGACTGTAAATGTGACAGTACAGGCACCCTGCAAAGCCTGGTTGGTTACTGGCTTGGGCCAATTGCAATGTATATTACAGGCCTATATAAATGACTGTTTGATTAATTTGACAACCAGTTTATTTTAGTAACGCAACAGTGAGAGACCTTAAATGAACCAGTGTAATGCCAAGGGCATCCTAATGCCAGAAACACAGGTTACTCCCTGCTGAGAATCTCAGCACAGCGGTAAAAGCAGGCGGGCACAGCTGGGCGCGCACACACAGACCTCTGACAGCGGTCGTCCGGCGTGTCGTAACCTGCGTCCTCACTGCACAGAGACAGGCTGTTACGGTAACGGCGTCCCGCACTGCGAAAGGCATCCAGGGCTGCCTGGACCTCACAGTCGTCGACACCCAGGACCCTGCAGTACAGCAGCTGGTAGAGCAGCGCTGTGAGGACACACACACACACACACACACACACACACACACACACCATGTCAATTACCACTTGGCACTTTACTATTATCATCATCATGATTGAGGACCAACTTAAGTTCCCTTTAAGTTCCCTGTTCTTATGTTCTTAACAAAGGGAAGGGGGGAATCTTGAGTTATGTGCCTGGTTTTCATTCGCAAGCTGTCGCTATCTAAGCAGCAGAGGTGGGCAGTGCAGACCAGCCCCGGAGCCCACAGCACTTACCCTGGCAGAAGGCCGCGTCCACCGGGTACCACCTGGGGTAGACAGTGTCATAGTGCCCGTTACTGGAACAGCACAGCAAAATCTGAAAGGGACAGTGAGCGACTCCAGACCATGAGGTAGAACCAGTTACTCAAAATAGCAAGACAAATGTCCCCATCAGCTTGCAAATTAGACACACAATTATCTTCCGTCTGCAAACACACACACAGCAACAGAAACTTCAGTACAGCTGATCTGTACAAGAGCGCCATCTGTTGGACATAAACCTGAACCAGACGCTTCTGTCAAAGCACAGTTGAGGAATGGCTTTCCACAGCAAACCCCGATGGGGGGGCGGGGATGACACGGAGCCCTACCTTCTCAGGGTACTCCTCATCCGCGATCTCCGTGGGAGGCTTTCCAGGGTACCTGTAAATAACAAAGACCCGCCTGCAAAGATAAATCAGAACTTGTGATAAGTCAGGCCAATTTTTTTTTTATATAAAAAAAAATCACAGACGTATCACAGTGGACACAGTCTGCTATGACATAAGCGGCAGAGGCCCACTATACACTGCTGCTTGTGTGATTCTGCCGCGTACCCACCACAGGAGTGTCTAATGGCTTATCCCCTTTCTATTGGCCACCTTTCTGTATACATATTTTACACTGATTTAAATAAATTCACAAAATAGTGGTTAATGTTCTTTAAAGGGATTCCAATCAGTCTTCAGAGTGTATAGTTTTGTTAAACATCAGGAGAAAGCAGCCCCCCACAAAAAAACTGCTATTATCCATGAGGAGGCCTTACCTGTATAATAAAGACAGAGCTTTTATCTCCACTTGTCCGGCTGTCTCCTACCATGAAACAACAGCTGCGTCACACATCTAATCAACGGAGACGAAGTGCGGTAGAGTGCGGGACTGACTCACCGTGGGGTCCTCCAAGCGCTCCAGGTACTTCTCAAAGGACCCCTCAACAAACTGGGAAAGAAACGGAGAGAGAGGCGGGAGGGAGTGAGAGAGAAAGAAAAAAAGGAAGAAATGGTGGTGGGGGAGGGAGAGAGACGCAGAAAGACGGCCAGTCAGCGAGCCGCATTTCGTGACCCGCGGCGATATGAGAACCGCAAACGGCCACTTACTGGCTCAAAGTTGCATCTGTTAGCCCGCATAAAACTGACGCAGTCCTTTCGGATCTTCTGGTGGTAATTCTGCGAGTAGTAAAGCTAAACAAACCAAGTCAATGAATATATGAACCAGATATTTGTGGTAATGAAAACTTTACTTACATTTAAAGCCGAAAACTCGAAATGGTAACAGCCGTTTAAGTTTATAGTCACAGAGGAATTAAGTAAAGTAATTTATTGATAAACACAAGACACCGACTAACTGAAAATATTTACAAACCGATTTACAAATGCAATATTTAAGATAAAACTATGGTCTGTGAGAGCACTGAAGCAAATACCGGCGGAAACAGTGAGGAAATTATGTCTGTGAAACACCATGGGAAATGAAATGTCCGTTACAATTTAGGAGCTGTTAACTTTTTACCTGCTCGGAAACAGCTCGAAATAGACAGGACGCATCCCGAGCCATCATTTTCCGATATAGGCCGATGCTGGCCAGGTAATCGTCCATATTCAAAAAAAACTTCTTCAAGGATTTCTGCATTTTTTAAAGTAAATCAGAAATAAAAGGCAACATTAAACACGCCAAGCTTCATAACTCTCCGTGAAAACGGAAAAAAGGAAGAGCGTGAAGGTGGAAAGTCTCCTTCCCAGTCGGAGGGAGCATGCACGTGCTACAAATGCGCACTGATTAGCGAGCGCCGCCCGCGTGCGCAGCCTGCCTGTGCGCGTCTCTCCGGCGGAGCCACTGCCGCCTGCACTCACCCAAAAAACGTTACCGTGAAAAGCATCCCCGGCAACTACTGTGTTGACCGTCAAAGCATTTTTTTTTTTGCTTGTTAACGGTTTCTGATGAACAGCGTGTCGTTTAACTGTCATCTATTAAAATGATACAAGGCATGTAACGATACACTCAACTCACGATTTGATAGGATTCACGATTCGATTTTTAACAGAATGAGCTGCAGACAAATTTATTATAAAATATTCCTTTATTTATCTTTCTAAACTGTGCAAAACGTGTCCTCTTCTTAACAGTGCAACTGAAATTGAATAAAAAATCCCAAATCAAAATAAATGAAAAATCTTCAAATAAATAAACGGTAACACTTTACATTAACTGCACCTTCAAAATGCTTTTATATTGCATTCATAAAACGTTCAGTACACCTTCATAATGTATTAATTAAGTATTCAGAAATCATTCATAAACATCATGCATGTAGGCCTATACCTTTACATCCTAACATCCCTTAACAGCTGTAATATACATTAATAACAAACATTATATGATAATAACAAACATTATAATTGTATAATCATGTAATGTTTGTTATTAATGTATATTAAAGCTGTTAAGGGATGTTAAAGTGTACTTGCATGCTGTACCTGCTAATGTTCTATGAATGCATTATGAAGGTGAACTGAATGTTCTATAAATGCATAATGATGCACTTAATATAAAGCGTTACCAAATAAACTAAGGCTTGCATGTGCAGCTTTTTATCGTGGTTTTCCCTTTAAATAATCTTTGCTCTGGCGGTGGTGAATTGAGCTCTCTGTGGTGCCGGTGGACATGCTGAAGCATGTTTGTTATGCTATTTGTTTATGTTATCAGTCTTTTACAATGTTTGCATGCAGTTTTGTCTTGTCTGTGCTTTTCTTGCCGTTTTCGTTTGTGATTACCGGAAAGCTAACATGCTGCCACACCGCCGATTTAAGATGGGAGGGGGGGTGTCCTCAATTTCAAATTAGCTCGCCATCAAAACCAAAAACTAACGTACGACGTCGACGTGAACACGCAGTGACATCTGACGTCGTACTGACGTTGTGAAATCAAATGTAATATTTCTATGGCAAGCCGTTTAAACATAACGCTAAACTGGATATGTATAGCAGATATCTCTAATTCAGTTCTTCCTAGTCAAAAAGAACATTTCAGATATCCACAATGGCATTGATTGGCATGGCATGATTATTCCTGCAACAATGGTCAGCAGATCAAAGAAGAATGCCCAGTTTCAGACTCAGTCTCTTCTGAAGAGATAATGAACACAAAAAGAAACTTTTTTACTGATTTAAAAGTATGGCAGGCAAACAATAATATTCATCAGGCTAGAATTAATTCACAAAAGAAAGAATGGCTTTTATTGTGAAGGGACGACAATAGCAGAATACAGCTTAGAAACCATGGTAAGAGACACTGGGCACACGAGATTTCTTTGTACACCAATGAAAAAGCAGGGAAAACGCCCAAATTCTGTGTAAGAAAAGCAGCCACTTCAGCTCAGCTTAGGTCTACCAGAACAAGATGAAGGGTTAGGGCCAACAGGTGATGCTCCTCTCCAACACGGAGTCAGTGACGCTTTCGAAAAGCTGGAGAGAGCAGTGAGCATGAGTCACCAATTCATCATCACAAGCACAACCTGAAAGGGCTTGCAACAGCCATTCCAACTGACCTTTCAGAAAATGATAAATGCAAAAAACATTCTTGAGTGCTCTCTGTTGATTCAGGAACCCATAGTTAGTGAAGCAGACACCATAGAATTACATTTATGTAAGACAAGATGGACCTTTTGCCAGAAGAGCACTTATACAGTTTACTAATCGCCACTTAGTGAGTAAGGATGAAAACAAGCAAAAGAAAACTTGCTGAAATTGCAATACAGCTAGAATTCTTCTGGGAACAGTAACAGAAGATTACATTTTCAATTGAGCTGCTTACTAAGGAATTAGCATGAAATCTATTGAGGACAGCGTGACGTGTGGATGTACAAAGAGGTACAGATTTGTGAAGCTGCAAAAGATTTGCTTTAGTCTTTGCAAAACCACAAAGTAATGCATGAACTGCTGTATTTATGATTATTGATGCCCAGTGTAAATACACAGAGGCTGTGCCAGAGCTTCCTGACTCACAGTTTTGCACACACCCTATGAATGAAAATCGAGACCTTATTTACACAAACCTCCTAGTTATTCCACATCACAGCCTCCACAGATAGCAGGACAAACTGACAAATCCCAAGCACAACATTATCTTTTCAGATGTCCCCTAATTCCACAGTTTGTCACAAGCTTCCAATATGCTGCTTTATCAGTGTGGCCTGACATTATCATCATCATTGTGTCAGATTCCAGTGTTTGCAAAAACTGGCCAGTTAAAAACTCATTAAAAACTCATCAGTTACCTGCACCAGTATAAAATGTGTTGGTAATAACACAGCATTTCTCTTTACATAGGTTTTTTTAATGGCTACATTTCCATATTAATCGCATCAGAGATCCTCTAGATAAAATCCCTGCTAATTTTGGCCAGTGGGGGTTACTGTTAAAGATCTTCGCATTTTCGTGGATCATGTTTCAGAACTTTTATCTGGGGTTGGCGCCCCACCCTGGTTGTTCCCTGCCTTATGCTCATAGCCTATGTGTGGTATCACTTTCTCCGTTACGGACATGGTATAACTTTATTGATCAATCAGGTTAAAAACACTGTAATCATCAACAGTGTTTGGAAGTGAATGCTCAGTAATGGCAGTAACACTTTTCACTGATTATTAGCTACAATGCTGCATACAGTCACTCCAGAACAACATCTCAGGCATAATGAATGTCAAACCACTTCTGAACCCGTTTATAGGTAACTGTTGGATGTCGGGACCTGCCCTGTCAGCTTGTCATGTTCCCGTTGGGCCAGCAGAGGTCGCTGGCCACCCCATAATCACCTCATGTCACTTTCTCCGTTACAGACATGGTATAACTTTATTGATCAATCAGGTGAAATAAACTGTCACCATCATGTCACCTCATTGACTTCACCCCTGCAGTGCCCTACAGTGCCCTGTCTTCACCCCTGCAGTGCCCTACAGTGCCCTGTCTTCACGCCTGCAGTGCCCTACATTGCCCTGTCTTCACGCCTGCAGTGCCCTACATTGCCCTGTCTTCACCCCTGCAGTGCCCTACAGTGCCCTGTCTTCAC